CCCCCCCCCCCCCTCCCCCCTCAACCCTAGCCCTCGTGCTCCAAATCCCTCCAGCTTACCCACAAGTCCCTGTTCTTGGCCTGCACGGCCCCAGGCTCCTGCCCAGGAGAACTTTCCTGGCGCGACTTACTACTATGGTTTTTGCGATCGGAACAAATTGTAACGATTACAATGACTGCTATTATCACTCGTACTATTAGGGCGGTGTGCGTCAGGTCTCAAGACAAGTCAGAACGGGCTTCAAGGGTTGAGGGTTTAGGGTTTAGGGTTTGGAGTACTTCGTTTTGGAACTTGAGGCCCCTGAACCCTAAAGCCTAAAGCCTTGACTCTGAACTTTCAGCCATAGCATCCCCAAACTATGCACCCTAGACCCAGTATATAAACCCAAACCCTACACCTCAAAAGCTCTAATATAGGGGCCTGAATAATTAGAATAGGGTTTTGGGGGCATATTATCCTGTATAATTATACTAAGGAACCCCCAAAATAGTATAGGTACCTATTTAGGCTTCTATATTATAACTCTGACCTCTCAGGCTTTCCGCGTAGCTCGTCAGAAAAGGGTCTAGGGTTTAGGGGTTCAGGGTTTTAGGTTTAGAGTTTCCAGCCCTGCGGAGATCCACTGCACGTGAACTGAACAAGCCGCTAATCTCCTCCAGATACTGTAGAAGCATGAAAATGGGACAAGGGTTTTGGGGGGCAGTATGCGGCTGTAGGAACCCGACGGAATAGTATTGCGAACTATTCGGGCCCTGTCTTACAATCAACCCAATGTCACCACGAAACTAGCTAACCGGCCTGCCTTCGGCACATCTAACCCCCAACCCTAAACCCTAAACCCCTAAACGCTAAACCCCTAAACCCTGAACTCTAAACCCTCAACCCTAAACCCTCAACCCTAAACTTTTGCATATTCCGACTTCTTCTGGCAAGCTTAGCCCTGCGGTCCGCACCCATGAACCCGAAAGCTCAACTCCTTCCACAAGTCAAACAAGCCCGCGAGCTTTGGTAGGTTCAGAGTTTAGGGGTTTAGGGTTTAGATTTTAGGGTTTATTGTTTAGGGCTTAGGGTTCAGGGAAGTTGGGAAGTGCAAACAAAAATATTCAAGAATCGCAAGACACTTTAGGACTGCAGCCAAGTCAGTTTTCTAACCGTAAACCCTGAACTTTACAGCCAGGACCGAAATACTTCAGGAATATGTCCGTTTGCCGGCGAAGGGAGATCGTCCCAAACTGTAAGGCATCCACTAACGCTTTCAACCCTGCGAACTATTGGTTTAACGGCGCTGCTTTATAGGGTTTAGGGTTTAGGGTTTTGGGCCAAAACACTGAAACTAGCAGGTAATCGGAGCCACATGTAAAAACCCACGGAAGAAGCACGACAGGCTCACCACCGGAGAGGTCACGACAAATGGTTCTGCGAGCGAGGCCGGATAGCTCCAAAAGGACTACTATAGGTGCCTTCATAATTAGAATGGGATTTTTGGGGCTTCTTTAAAGGGTTCCTTAAAGGGTTCTATAAGGGCTACTATAAGGGTTTGGGGCTTGGGGGCCTTAACAATGAGAATAGGGTTTTGGGGCCAAGTATACCAAAACTATAATAAGGAAACCACAAAATAGTATAGGTAATTATTGAGGCCCCACATTCAGAATGGGTGTCGTTCGTTGTTTGCATGGGGCTTTCCTGATCTGGATCCAATTATTGTTGTCGGGTTTCGAAGCCAAGTTTCTCTTAACGGGTTCTTACAGTATTCACGATGCCAAATAATTTCATGCTTGAAGAATAGTCCTTGCATTTGCCGTTGCTTCGTTGCTTGCGGCAGGATTTCGGGGCTTAGGGAATGCAAGTACCAAAGGAGCCCGAACGCCGTGCTTTCAGGAATGCTCCTTAATCTTACGGTCAAGACGGGGCACAATAGAAGTTTCAAGACACTATCGACATATTCTGCCACCTCCTGGTCCCAGGGTTTAGGGTTTAGGGTTTAGGGTAGTATAATACCAGAAGGGACCGGTTATATACTACTAGTCTGGAATTCAGTCCAACAAAACCGTGATGATGCTGGTCTTCGATAGTATACATGGACCCTTTTGGTTATGGAAGCTTGTTCTCGAGGGGGTGGGATACTGTGCAGGATTAGACGGACCCCAATCTTGACGGCAACTCGGATTCGCAAACCCTAAACACAAAGCCCAAACCCTAAACCCTAAAAGCCTAAACACCCTATCCCAAAACCCAATGGCAATCGAGGCCATGCCATCACGTCACCCTAAATCCTACACCCTATAGCCCTAAACCCTAAACCC